CAAACTCACGGACTGCGAGATCGTGACCTGAGCTGAAGTCGGACGCCTAACCGACTGAGCCACCCAGGCGCCCCAACACATGGGAAATTTTTATCTAATACCGGAGGGTTAGAAAAAATATTCCCTAAATATTTTAAAAGACCTTGAAACCAGAAAAGAAAATATAATAAATTTGAATAAATATATATTAAAATTTATTGTATATATATATTTCAGTTTTTATTTAAATTCCTCTATAGTTAACATACAGTGTAATATTACTTTCAGGTGTTCAATATAATGATTCAACACTTCCATACATCACCTGGTGCTCATCACAAGTGCACTCCTTAATCCCCATCACCTATTTAACCCAGCCTCTCCTCTGGTAACCATCAGTTTGCTCTTTATAGTTAAGAGTCTCTTTCTTGGTTTGCCTCTCTCTCTCCTTTTCCCTATACTCTTTTGTTTTGTTTCTTAAATTCCACATATGAGTGAGATCAAATAGTATTTGTCTTTCTCTGACTTATTTCACTTAGCATAATGCTGTCTATCTAGCTCCATCCATGTCGTTGCAAATGGCAAGATTTAATTCTTTTTTTATGGCCGAGTCATATTCTATTGTATATATACCACTTCTTTTTTATCTATTTATCAGTCGATAGACACTCGGGCTGTTGCCATAATTTGGCTATTGTAGATAATGCTGCTATAAACATCCAGATGCATGTATCCCTTCAAGTCAGTATTTTTGTATCTTTTGGGTAAATACCTAGTAGTGCAATTGCTGGATCGTAGTTCTATTTTTCACTTTTTGAGACACCTCCACACTGTTTTCCAGAGTGGCTGCACCAATTTGCATTCCCACCAACAGTGCAAGAGGTTTCCCCTTTTTCTACTTCCTTGCCAACACCTGTTGTGTTGTTAATTTTAGCCATTCTGACTGGTGTAAGGTGACATCTCATTGTAGTTTTGATTTACATTTCCCTGATGATAAGTGATGTTGAGTATCTTTTTATGTGTCTGTTGACCATCTGTGTGTCTTCTTTGGAATAATGTCTATTCATGTCTTCTGCCCATTTTTTTAACTGGATTGTTTTTTGGATGTTGAGTTTTATAAGTTCCTAATATATTTTGGATACTAACTCTTTATTGGATATGTCATTTGCAAATATCTTCTCACATTCTATCGGTTGCCTTTTAATTTTGATGATTGTTTACTTCAGTGTTGAGAAGCTTTTTATTCTTATGTGGTCCCAGCAGTTTATTTTTGCTTTTATTTCCCTTGCCTCAGAAGATAAATCTAGAGAATGTTGTGGGGTGCCTGGGTGACTGTCAGTTAAGCATCCAACTCTCGATTTCAGCTCAGGTCATGATCTCACTGTGAGTTCAAGCCTTGCTTCGGGCTCTGTGCTGACAGTGTGGAGTCTGCCTGGGCTTCTCCTTCTTCTCTCTCTTCCCCTCCCTCACTCATGCTCTTTCTCTCTCAAAAATAAATAAATAAACTTAAAAAAGACAGAGAAATATTGCTACAGCCAATGTCATACAAATTACTGCCTGTGTTCTCTTCTAGGATTTTTATAGTTTCAGGTCTCACATTTAGGTCTTGAATCCATTTTGAGTTTATTTTTGTGTATGGTATGAGAAAGTGGTCCAGTATCATTCTTTGCATGTTGCTGTCCAATTTTCCCAACACCATTTGTTGAAGGGACTGTCTTTTTCCCATTAGATTTTCTTTCCTGCTTTGTTGAAGATTAATTGATGATACAGTTGTGGGTTTATTTCTGGGTTTTTTATTCTCTTCCATTCATCTATGTGTCTATTTTTGTGCCAGTGCCATACTGTTTTGATCACTACAGATTTGTAATATAACTTGAAGTCTGGAATTGTGATACCTCCAGTTTCGTTTTTCTTTTTCAAGACTGCTTTGGCTATTCAGGGTCTTTTGTGGATCCAAAAAAATTTTAGTATTGTTTGTTCTAGTTCTGTGAAAATGTTGTTGGTATTGTGGTAAGGATTGCATTAAATCTGTAGATTGCTTTGGGTAGTATGGACATCTTGACAGTATTTGTCTTCCAATACATGGGCATGGAATTTCTATTTCTTTGTGTCATCTTCAATTTCTTTAATCAATGCATTATTGTTTTCAGAGTACAGATCTGTCACATCTTTGGTTAACTTTATTCCTAGGTATTTTATTATTTGGGGGGGCAATAGTAAATGGTATTGCTTTTTTAAATTTCTCTTTCTGCTGCTTCATTGAAACATTTGTTTTTAAAAAGCTGTATGGGGGGCGCCTGGGTGGCGCAGTCGGTTAAGCGTCCGA